CCTGAAATAAGGTCTGTAGTTAACACAAGCTTGTAAGATTTTTTACGTTTTGTCCAACGACATAAAATAAGTCAGTAAATACATAACACCGTGAATATCACAAGCTTCTGGTTGCTAACACGTACATTTACTACGAAACGCCGACACGAGACCACCTTTGGCAAGTGGTGGTGACGTGTGGCCAAACGTGCTAAGTATCATAAATGTGTGTTAGCATTTTTTCGGCAATATACCGAAATCCAATGGGGAAATCCCATTAGCTTTTTGTCCAGGGAGTCCTTGCGATGGTAACTTCAGCCTACTAAAATACGTCATCACTGCACCACTCCGAAGAGATATTTTACATTTTTTTATTTGAAACATGTTGAATTTATTTTTGCAATGGTGAACCTCTGTACATTGCGTTGCTTAATTTTTTCCTCTTCTATAATACCCTGAAAAATGTTATCCAGCTTTTCTGTTAGAGCATGACTTTAATCCCACTATGTGCTGGTTTAAACTGCTTATGTGGAAGAATCACGGCAGTATGTGCGTAACACAATGAGCTGTCATTACAGTCATGCTACAGGCTGGGATCATAGCGGGAGGCAGAGATAGATTGTCTTACACACACACACACACACATTAAAGAATCCGGTTCAACACACCGCTTAGAAACGACGACTAATGACCTAAGTGCATTGTACACAGTGTCTATCAAATGAATTATGGTAGTAGGATCGGATAAGAAAGAAATGAGTCCAATTTTACATGACAGATAATAATTTTGTGCCATTTCCTTACAATATAAACAATGCTTATCCCTAACTATTGCTAGATTATGTAGTACAATAACCCGTATCCTCAAAATCAAATCCCTTCAGCCGCAGAAGTAATGTCATGATTCCAGTATAACAGTCACATCTGCTCCAAGTCGTTCCTCACACACTGAGTCACACACACTTAGTCTTGTCAACGTGATGTCACCATGTCCTCTAGCTTTCCTTTCCTGCAAAAAGAAATAAGAATAGCGTTGCTACGGAGACAGAGCCGGGACGTCGTTTCATCCTTGTGACGTCTCCAGGGCCAGCCGAAGTATCAGCCAATGGCGAGGGGACAAGCGGGCGTTAATAAAAGCAAAGCTGCTATTTTTGGGAACCGGCCGTGGCATTACTCAGCAGAGTGCAGCCCAGTCAGACTGTCACATTCCAACAGTGGGAAGACGAGCTGTTGTGTCTCTGTAATAAAATAAAAAGTGAGGCGACCAGAGAGAATCCTTCCTGCTTCCTGTCGAACCGGATCCCTTCAGGAAGTGTGTGTTCAAGTTATATACGGTCGTGGCTAGTAAAGTGCTCTTTTCATTACAGTGGACTTTACAGAGCGGAGGATTTAGATAAGCCACAGTTAATTAAACTGTAGATTTTCCCCCTCCACATGCTGACTCTTTCCTCCTGAATAAGAGACAGATGGCAGAGGGTATTTATGTAATAGTAAAAAGCCCTTCCTGTAACAGTGCTCATAACTTGATAAGCTCCAGGCTCACGTCACTAATGAACAGACCGACATTTTTCCGATCACATGAACCTGGAGAAGGCAAAAAGCATAGCTAAAGACGGGACTACTGACTGATCTCTGCTGTCATAATCAGTGTCTTTTCTCTAAACAAAGCGGATCCCTCTGGGTCTGGAAAGTGACAAACTGTCATCTTAAAGCTCCAATATAGGGTGAATTTCCACTCTAATGTTGCAAATGCACAGCAGCATCCTGGTACTAGTTGCACATATTTCATTGAGCTCAAATTCAGACTTCTGGAGCTAAAGCGGCATTTTCTATAAGCCTCATTGCAAAAGCAGTGCAATACACAAAAAGTCTCAAAAAACAAAAAGTAAGAGAAAGAAATGAATACCTTCTTCATTAATACTGTATTATTAAACCCTTGTGCATATGTTAACCATAATCTCAAATGACAGAAATTAAATAGGCTTAAAGCTGCATTCACATGACACGCTATTTTCCCTTTGCTAACTGCAGGGTTTAGGGTGTTACAGAGGACTACCTTTCTGGGTCAGCGAGGTCATCCATTGTACAGAGAGTGGTCGTTCCTGTGAGGTTATCAGGTCAGGTCACATCCAGGGTTTGCAGAGCCCTGTGGTGAAAACAGCTAGTTAAGTTTCAATTCTATAACCTCCCCTGCTGGCTATCTTGTTTGGTTGCGCGTTGAAAGGTCAGCGCTAACAGAGGTCAAAGATGAAATCATTTGAACTTTCATCGCAGTGCTCTGTGAACATTTTGAGCAGCACTTTCTCCATAGAAACACAACGGCAACGTCAGCACAGAAACGCTTTAACCATGTATCATGTGAAGGCAGCTTTAGTTGAAAGTTCTTAACTGATTCTCTTGTTGGATAAAAAATTGGTCTCAAGGTAAGGAAACAAGCTACTATCACTTGTTATATATACATATTTACACTCGATGATTGATTTGAGCAAACAGTTAAAGCATTGTTGCTTTAGGGGCTCTATTGAGTGTCTTTTCTTTTTAAATTTCAAGCCTCAATTGAAATGATCTTTTGACCATTGAAGCTTTCACTCTCTTACCCTCAAACTACAATTGGTACAGTACAGCCCTTTTAGCCTTTTCTGTGGTCTCACCTCTGGTCCCCTCATGGTGGTCTTGATAAATAGTTCTTGCAGATATTGCGCTCGAGCTTCACTGCAGGTGAGGGTAATGGGAGGGGGGGGCCTTGTGGGTGAGATAGATTTCCAGTGCCTGTGAGATCAGGTGACTGGTGTTAGGCTGCCGGCCCTGCACAGTCGGTCTCTGCTTAGAAAATACAAGCTCACGTTACCACACTGTTAGTTTCTCCGCTTGGCCTCCAGTCAGATTGTTTTCATACAGAAAATAGAAGCTGGTCGAATGAGCTTTTGGTTTCTCATACGTACTGTATCATGCCACAATGAAAACTCTTGAACAGCTAATGAAATGTCACAATAGCAGAAAAACGTGACATTTCTTTTGCTGAGGCATGATTCAGCCATGTGAAATGAATTCCATTTGGCTTTCTGAAGCGTTATTATAAGCTGCTTCTGCTCCTCAGTCGAGTCACAAGTTTATTCCTTCTCCACCCCCGCATTCTTTGTTAGTTCTTCCTCTAGCTACGCAATTATATAACTACTCAACTTATGTCATGAAGTCGAACTGCAGCAAGTGATGACATAAGTTCAGAAAAGCACTCTGGTACCATTCTAAGATCATGATTATAAGCTTTGCCTCGGTTGTGTTTGGCTGAGTTTAAATGTCTAGATTTCATGATGTGTTAAGCTGAGAATTTGAAAGCTGCAGAGTAGAAAATCCTTAAGGTGCACTGATTCCGTGATAGAAACCGACCATGAGAGAAACCGACTAAGAGATAACAAAAACCAGTTCCTTTTTCAAGATAATGCTCATTAAAAACATCCTACTGTTTACTCCCAGACAGACACACAATTCAACTGTGGAGGGTATACAGATCATCTCTTTGTCACATGTCTGGCTTGCTGGGGGTATAAAGTACAACAGCTGATCAGAAACCGGTTTATTGCCAAGATAGTTTACAAGGAATTTGGTTTAGTGTGTATAGTGCATACAGACACATTAAGAAATGAAATTGTAAGAAAAGGACTGTAGCGGCTAAATCATAAAGAAATCAAACAGAAAATGAACTTCACAATATAGGTTCCACTGAGGCACCAGATAGCGATCACGTCCAGGCAAGAAGTTCCTTTTGTGCAGTTTATTCCAATGATCCAATAATCCAACAGTATAAAGTGTTTAACCAATCCTACCCTTTTTTCCTTTTATGGTGGCATTGCTCGTTTCTTTCCCTGGTAAAAAAAAAAACATTTGCCCATTCTGGCGCACCAATCCCACTTCCACCTGTCAATAAATACCTAAATACCCGAGCCCAAATCACCCTGTGCTAAAAGCTGCCTTCAAAATAAAAGCACAAAAAACTACTTAAATGAACTTTAATTATAACACCAAATAATGATACATTTAATATAAACAGAAACAGCAAGAAAATACATGTTAAAGTATTAAATAATACACCATAAATAACTCCAACAAGGTCCAAAATAGACCTATAATTAACACAATTAAAAAACTATTATAATATAAAGAAATATATAGAAATATATATTAAAGGTCCCATGTCATGCTTTTCCGGTTATTACCCGTCCCCTTGTGTGTTATGTAGCTTTTTCTGCATGTGAACGGTCTGCAGAGTCACAAACCCTCAAAGTACACCCTGTAGCGAGTAAAACTCTAACACAGAAAATACCTGCCTATGCTGCCCCAGAACGCCTCGTTGGAGATTTCTCTTTTTCCATTGTTTTCTTCTTATAGTGTAGTAAGTACAGTGACGTATTGGGTATAGTGACGTAACGTCACATCTTCCTCACACACACACACTCAATCTTTTCTCAGCTGCAGCTCTGCGGATTTCTCAGCCTGAACTCAGCCTGAGACGGCTGTCTAGGCTCGTTCTGAGCACACACACAGACTCACAGCCAGGCTGCAGGTGTGTGTGTGCTCGGGCTCGGTTCAGGCTGGGTTTCGCTGTGTCTCGCTGTCTCGCAGATCCCCCGCAGCAAGCCAGCTCACACTGTCCGCTCCAGCAGCGAGCCCTGCAACGTCCCGCCAACACGGCACCCAGACCCCAATTCAAGATAAAACTGCAAGTGAAGGCACAGACGTAAACATAAGTACAAGACAGGAAATTCAAGTTAAAACCAATCCTACATCAAATCTTTTAGGCTCTTTAATCTTACTGTTCTGTTCACATGTCTTATGGCTCCTGGAATAAAAACCAGACTCTCATATTTAAAAATGTTCACTGTTTAAAAATGGCAAGAAAATGCGTTTTGGGTAGACGACCCTTTATTTCTTCTTGTGTGAATTTAAATACATAAATCTAGTTGTCATGTAGTAACATTATGAGGTAGATTTTCATCTGTATATTCTGTATTTTTGTCTTTCAGAATTCAAAGAGTGCCCAAGGCCTGGTAGGATTAAAGAACCTAGGAAACACAGTAAGTACACTCGTACCACATCTAAGTCGGAAAATGTGTGTGTGGAGCCAAACATCTCATTCTTCACACACCACCTCCTCCTCCTCCTCCTCCGGGTGGTGTTACACTGAGTGCAGTTTGTTGAATCCACACAGGAGGGGTGGTCCAGAGTTTCTATCTACCAGGCAACAGGCAGAAGGACAGCTCTTAAAATGTGTGTGTGTGTGTGTGTGTGTGTGTGTGTGTGTGTGTGTGTGTGTGTGTGTGTGTGTGTGTGTGTGTGTGTGTGTGTGTGTGTGTGTGTGTGTGTGTGTGTGTGTGTGTGTGTGTGTGTGTGTGTGTGTGTGTGTGTGTGTGTGTGTGTGTGTGTGTGTGTGTGTGTGTGTGTGTGTGTGTGTGTGTGTGTGTGTGTGTGTGTGTGTGTGTGTGTGTGTGTGTGTGTGTGTGTGTGTGTGTGTGTGTGTGTGTGTGTGTGTGTGTGTGTGTGTGTGTGTGTGTGTGTGTGTGTGTGTGTGTGTGTGTGTGTGTGTGTGTGTGTGTGTGTGTGTGTGTGTGTGTGTGTGTGTGTGTGTGTGTGTGTGTGTGTGTGTGTGTGTGTTTTAACCTAATCAGAGAGCTCTGGACCAGAGAGGACTCTGTGTCTCTTGATCCTCTCAAACTGCACCGGGCTGACCCTTCTTTCACTTTGTCTAGAAATCCCTGTGTTGTATACATGATATGGGAGACAACAGACGGTTAGCTTAGCTTAAAGGGATAGTGTACCCCAACATCAAAAAATACATATTCATCCGCTTACATGTAGTGATATTTATCAATTTGAATAGTTTTGGGAAGAGTGTTGGAAATAAAGCCTGTAGAAATATACACTGTAATCCCTGTATTTGTACTATACTGTATACTGTATCACCGAGCACAAGCAAGTATGTCTAGTAATTTAATTTAAAAATGTAGTTTGGTAGAAAGAAAATAGTTTCTGCATGAACCTGCTGACAACACCGTCCATCTTGATGTTTTATCTTTACTTATTGGGTTAGATTTCTAGAGATGGACATAAACGTTGAAAAATATAAGTGTTTTTCGATGTATTTCTGGGGACTATAAGCACCACAAGCCAAGGGCCGTTTAGTTTGACTACATTGGAGAAAAGGCACTACAGGTAGGATGAAAAAGATGTAGGTTTGATTTATAGGTGGACTGTCCCTGTTATGAATAAACCAAGGTGGAAAAGCAGCAGCTTTTTTAAAGCAATTTTTATTCTGGTGTTATAAAGGACTAATTCTTTGACTTTAAAGACTGCAAATTGTCTGCAATTGTTTTCCCATTATGCTAAGCTAAACTAAGCTAATCCCGGTTGGCTAAAGCTTCATATTTAGGGTACATTATTATTTAGGGTATATTAGAGTGGTATCAACCTCCTCATCTTACCTTCTGTAAAAAAGTGGTTTTTGGGGTTTTCCCTTCCCTGTAGTGTGTATAGGCTTTTTTGCATGTAAATGGTCTGCAACGGCTACAATCCCAGTGTTCCCTCCAGAGGGAGTGTCTCTCCCACACACTCCCTGAAACGCTCATTGACACTGAAACGCCATCATTGGAGTCCTTTTTACTACCGTAATATAGTAACACTCACGCTTCTATTGGCTAGAGCTCCAACACATTTTATGTGATAGGCTAAGGGGTGGGAAAACTTTAGGCGGTTGACCAATCAGAACAGACTGGGCTCTGGTTTCAGACAGAGGGTGAAAAGTGGTGCTGCAGCACAGGCAGTATGAGAAAAATAAAGAGCTTTCTGAACATTAAAGCACGGAGACATGTCTCAAAAGAGGCACAAAATACACATTTTAACCTGAAAATGAGCATTACATGTCCTCTTTAACTTGCTTGATTCAGCTATGGATAACATTTAAATCAATAAATATATGTTATTGTTTGAACTAGATTGTAAGAATACTGGTGGGTTTTTGCCATCATTTTGTACATAAATGTGTAAGTATCATTATTGAATGGAACTTGATGTTATCAGTCATGGAATCTCACTGTTTTGCTGTTTTTCTTTTCAGTGTTTCATGAACAGTATCCTGCAGTGTCTCAGCAACACACACAGCCTGCGGGACTACTGCCTGCACAACTTGCACCGCAGAGACCTTAACAACAACAGCCGCACCAACACCGCCCTCATGGAAGGTGAGAGACAAGTCACATAGGCCCCCTAGAGGCTGGAACCAGAACCTCCTACAGACCTCACACTCATTACCAGAGATGGGGTCGTTACTAAAAAAAAGTAATATATTACATATTACATATTACTTTTAAAAAAAAGTAATATATTACACTACTTCGTTACTCTCTACATAAAGTAACTCGTTACTTTACTCGTTACTTTACTCGTTACTTTACTCGCAGGGCCGGCCCGCCCCTCCCTACAGGCAGATCACGCAGACTGCTAAAGTTTCAAATGTTCTCTTTAGTTCAGTTTCCATTGTCGCATAAGACTGATCCAGATAGCTCTGACTATGGCTGTCCTCTGTCTCCTGCTATCTGTATTTTGCGCAGTATATCTCTGAACGATGCAATGGTGATTCCACTGTGCAAATGGGCAACATTTCCTCTACTATGAAGGATGCTACAAGCCTGTCCATCTCTGCTTTGGTTACCGGTCCTCCAAATTCTAATTTGTGCTGCTTCGGAGTCGGCGGCGGCGCACTCACAACATCCTCACTCTGGGTTCGGGGGTCCTTAGCTATTAGCTTCACCTTAGCATGTGTTCTTTGCAGGTGTTTGTTGAGGTTTGACGTGGTGTTTACAGCAGTGGATAACAGCTTCTGGCCTGGACACAGTTTGCACCTCACCGTCACATTCCTGTCTATTCTTCGGACGAACTCAAAATAATGGGCATACCTCCACCCCTCGAAAGTTATCGCTGACTCTGCCATGTTTATGCAGCACTGCACGTGGAGATGTGGACGCGCAAGTCGCGCAGATTACGTACATATAAACCTGCGGCGGAAACCCCTCTTGTCTGTCAGTGTGATTATGACTGATTTTATAAAAGTAACGAAGTAACGCGTGTCGGGGCAATGTTAGTAACTGTAGTGTGATTACTGAATTATAAAAGTAACGCGTTACACTACTCCGTTACCGACAAAAGTAATATTATTACAGTAACGCGTTACTTTGTAACGCGTTACACCCAACTCTGCTCATTACCTCTTTACCTCTGCAGTAGATCTGCTTCTATGTCATCTTTTGTAGGCTCTGACAATATGTTCCTTGGCCTTTTAGCAAGGTTTGCATTGTCTTGAATGTTTGGAAAAAGCCTGAATGCACTTTCAACAATGCCTATTTAACACAAAGCTAATATGAACAATATACATACATACTATAGGAGTTATGTACTCTTTAATTCTTGCAATTGCATTTATAATAACAATTTAGATGTGATGATCAATATTTCAATAGTCCGCACATTTTTGGTTTAGGTACCTTTTTTAAACTGCTTGAATTTTACTAAATAAAACAATGGAGCTGTTAACTTGACATGAATACACTGTTATGTAGAATCCGCCGAGTGTGTGAGTCATTTGAGTGTTTGTGTTGTTGCAGAATTTGCCAAGCTGTTACAGACCATGTGGACGTCGTCCAGCAGCGAGGCCGTCAGCCCGTCAGAATTCAAAACGCAGATCCAGAGATATGCTCCCAGATTTGTCGGATACAAGTAAGCTTTGTTACACCCTTCACTCTTAACAATGTTTGTTTTTGTAAATATTTTAGGAGCACCTCCCTCTGTCTCATAATCACACAACTACAAGAGTCTAGAGATATGACAGTAAAATCAGCTGACATTTACATTTCTGACTGAGTGTTTGTGTGTCCTGCAGCCAACAGGATGCTCAGGAGTTCCTGCGTTTCCTCCTGGACGGTCTGCACAACGAGGTCAACAGGGTCACCGTCAGGCCGAGAGGCTCGGTGGAGGACTTTGACCACCTGCCGTAAGTCCTCTGTCCCCCTGGCCTTCACCTGAATGTCATTATACGTTTACAAATGACTACATAGAGACACAACCTGACTACAAAAAAGGCAAAACTCTTCTAATGTAAAACAGCTGCAAGAAAACACAAAGAGAGTCACAAGGACTATGAAAAGGAGCCAAACAACCAAATAGACACAAAATGACAACAACAAAAAAAGGGACAGCAAAACAAAGAAAGATCTGTCACTCCTAAAAAGATACACAAAATGACATCAGAACTCCTCTAATCATCCCACAGAGTGGAAATGTACATTGTTACAGCACAGTGACAGTACATATTAATAAGTAATTACATTCAAATGAAATAAGTGCATATTCACGGTAGAAAAGATTAGTGACAGCATTATAAAATGTAAGTGGAACAAGTAGAAAGTTATGAAGTAGCTGCCAGATAGCGGTAGTAATAGTAAAAGTATAGATAGTACGTTGTTATCTTAGAACATTGATTTTACAGTATTAAGTAGTGCAGATATATGCGTAACGTCCACAAAGAGAAAGAAATTACTACACAATGTAACAGCAGCTGATTTGAACCCAGTGTCAAGTGAACTTCAAAGTTAAATAAGACTTCTAAAGCCAACCCTGTTCCACGTGAAAAAAAAAAAAGACAAACAAAAACAGACTTACTTGTAGTTTTTGGAGCTCCAGTTGACTTCAAAACGACAACGTAGAGACATGAAACGACTACAAAGAGACACAAAAAGACAACAAAAAGGCTAAACAACATCAAAGTCTGTGTATTTCCCCTCTGTAGTAGAAGGGGTGGGGTCTCTTGCGTGTCTTTGCCTAGGGGTCCATTGTATCATAACCGCCCATGATAGCATACAGTTTGTAAACAGGGATTAGACAGAGGCATCATTAGTCATTAAGATTCTTCCTTACGCTCTCAATGAAGACTCATGGGACACTTCACCTCCTTGAGTTGTTTCCTCTGTGGGTCCCAAGTCAGAGTAACGCTCCGACTCTTATTGGATGTGATTATCAGTTATCTAACGCCATGTTTAAGGGTTCATCTCTGTGTACTACCCTCAAAACAAAACCCAGTGCCTTACTATCAAACAAAATGCAGATCCATTTCCAGCTTAAAATCATGTCCCAGGGGGAAGCTGTAATAAAGTAGGTCAGGTCCCTTAGTAGTGTCTGTTTTCTGCTCTGACCCATTTCCTTATGAACTCCTTTTCTGAATCAGAACAGCTGATCAGTGTGTTTCTGACTCTCTTGGCCATCTTCTCAATGACTCTGCACTCATCCAGTTCTCTAACAGACTCCTGTGCTCCATGTTCAGGGACGAAGAGAAAGGGAAGAAGATGTGGAGCAAATATCTGGAGAGAGAAGACAGTAAGATAGTCGGTAAGTAGAAAAGCATCACGATCCATTTTAATTATATTATGATAAAATGTATAAGTGTGTACGTTCAATCTCTTCTATATTTGTAATATTCGTTTTTTGTTTTGTGTTGAGATCAAACACTCAGCATGAAGAAGAACAGAAAAGCCGAATAAAACATACATCTTTTGTCACTGTTTTTCATGCCAGATGTGACAGTGATCAGCATCGTGTGTTTTGCTTTTATCTCTGCAGACGTGTTCGTGGGGCAGCTGAAGAGCTCTCTAACCTGCAGCCACTGCGGGTTCTGTTCCACCGTCTTCGACCCCTTCTGGGATCTCTCTCTACCTATCGCCAAGGTTAGGAAACACACACACACACATACATACACACACACACTGGTGAGCCTTACATAACAAGTCCCAGAAGGTCAGCAGACACATGTCAGCACAATAGGTAGCGCAGAGGTGACCTTTCTTTGTGCTTCTTGTTAGTTAGAGCTGGGCACTATGAAGAAAATCAAATCATCATTTAGTGGTGCAGAAACGATCATTTAGTGGTGCAGAAACGAGTCTTAAACCAGGAAAAAACGTTGTATTTTACCACTTCTGATTCCCTCTTCTCAAAGTCAACATATTTGTGGTTAGAAGCTTGAAATGAGGTATATGGTTAACAAAAGCTTAAGAGATGTTCTACAACATGAAATACGCCAGTGGATACTCCCTATATGAAGGTCCGAAGCTTTTATGTGTCATAAAAACGGCGGTTGCTAACAAGTGGCTAAATAACCTGCTAAACGTCAGCAAGCCAAACATTAGCCGCCTTTAGCTTAGCGGTGGTGATGGGCAGCCATGTGAATGTGATGTAGATTGTTTATAGCCAAGCGTTAGCGTATTACATTTGGCGATTGCATTTACGCTTCAACAATCAATAAATTGGGTTATTAGTCGAGATTATCCTGCTGAACAAAAGTTGTTGAATATCATAATGTGTGTTTGCCACAGAGCTTATTTTCTGCAATATAGCAAAATCCAGTGGAGAAATCCCATTGCTTTTTGTCGAGGGAAACATTGCGAGGCTTACTTTCCGGGTGGTGACAAAAATACGTCATCACTGCACCACTCTATAGTACGGTTGACCATTGATGCTTTTACAACATATTTAAACAATAAGAATTTGATTTATAATCTGCATTAATGTAGTCATAAAGACTAAGTGGTCTAAGCTAAATAATAGAACAGCTAAAGTCTGTTAAATTCAGAAAATAACATCATATCTCTATAATGCAGCCTTGAAAACCAGGGTACAAAATTACGATATATTAAATGTAACAATATATCTAGTCTTATATTACAATACTGATATTGCACAATGGTTTAAAGCAATTACAAATATCTTCCCACAGCTCTAAACATGAGCTTTTTGGTTTTCCCCCTGTCTCTGTTTGTGCTTTGCTTTGTGTGTGTGTGTGTGTGTGTGTGTGTGTGTGTGTGTGTGTGTGTGTGTGTGTGTGTGTGTGTGTGTGTGTGTGTGTATGTGTGTATGTGTGTGTGCATGCTAATGTGAATGCATCTATGTTTGTGCTCAGAAGGGCTACGGTGAGGTGAGCCTGATGGACTGCATGCGGCTCTTCACCAAAGAAGACGTCCTGGACGGAGACGAGAAGCCGGTAAGAACCATCGGAGCGGTGATGACTCCTCAGTGCTAGAACATGAATCAGCATATTTAGGGCCTGTGTCCACATAGCCACTTTATCTTGCATTGTCATCATGCTAGTATTATAGAAATGTAACTGTAAGGGAATAGAGTTACCTTTTTTTATCCTGATTATGTAATCCTGTTACCTGTAATCCATTACTCCCAAAGTCTGGTCCATGTCCTGGAATCAAAGTGTTTGTAACAAACTGTATTTCCTCTCCACAGACGTGCTACAGGTGTAAAGCCAGGAGAAGATGTACTAAGAAGTTCACGATACAGAAGTTCCCCAAGATCTTAGTGCTGCGTATCCTTTCCTCAGTAGTAATGTTATACAGATGCTGATGTAATGTGATGTTTGCAGTGAGCATATAGCTGGGAGAGTATCAAGATGTTAGTGCAGGGATGGGCAAATGGCTGCCCCCACCTCCTCTTTTTGCGGCCCTCAGATTAATTTATAAACAACGTAATTCATTTAAAAAATAAACACTGACAAGAAACACTGGCTGTTGTTATGCCTGCTGTGACGTTAAGTTACCGCTTGTAATTATGCCGTTACAAGCTTCAAAGTTGTATTTATCATCTGAATTTGGCGAAACAAGTTTAATATTCTGAAAGCCAATACTTTGTTTATTTTAAATCAGATGAAAACAAACTGTCACGGACCCTGCCGTGTTATCTATGATTACTATACGCTTTTCATTCATAATTTCAGCGGGAGGGGGAGCGGCGCTGAGGAACAGCAGAGTGCGGGTTGACAGGTGTCTGTGTTGACACTCCCCTTGTGCGTCAGCAGAGACAGGCTACAAGTGTCTTAGGTTCAAGTTAGACAACTAATGTCTGGGTTAGTGTTCATGACTTCATGTTTATGTCATCTTAATGGTTAATCTTAATGCACACACATTTTCCGTGCTTTCCAATAGTTTAAAATAGTTTTATTCCACTGTTAAATAACCTGTTCAATACAAACATGCCACTTGTAAACATTAAATAACATTTCTGTGAACTGACATTTGTTTAGTGAGCATATTAGAGGATGTTCCCTGAAAGATTGGAAAATGTCAATGAAGATGTCAGACTTAGTATATTTGTTAATAATTACATACAACACATGGAATTTGTGTGTGTGTGTGTTCCAAGTGAATCTGCGGCCCCCTGGTGGCCAGCACATACATGATGTGGCCCCCACCCCCATCAAAGTTGCCCATCCCTGTTAGTGTGTGATCTATGGTAACACTGTAGTACAAAGTAATACATTCTAATGATGATTGTAGTGCAATCACCATTAGATTCAGTCAGCAGGATGAGCAATCAGATCAAATACTATGTGACCGTGATTTGCTACATTTGTGGCAATTTTCTTGATTAGGGGGGTAACATTTTTCGAGAAAACATCAAGAGAAAAATATATATTCTTTGGGATAAAAGTGTCAAATTCACAAGAAGAAGAAAATCTTCAATGGATGACTTAATAAAGAACTATTGCAATTGACTTTTTTTTTACCACTTTAATCTCAGAGAATACATTTCACATAACTAAATCCCAACAGTTTTTTTCTGAATATTGCCTATCTTGCTGCATAATTATAATTGTTTAACCTACAATGACCTTAATATGCCGTCGTTCTATTGAACCTGCTGCTTTGACATTGTAAAAGCACACCAGTTGTTTGAAACAGCTCTGACGGGTCATGTTTTTAAAACCCAGTTTGGTAGAAAGTCTGTAGACTGCACTCACATCCACTAACCAAATGTTGATGACGAGTGTAGATATTTGACTCCATCCAGTAACAGAGCTTCTGCACAGTTGTACAAAGTGTTGTCGGAGCGTACTGAAAGGTTCACACAGAGCAGTTTGTTCCTTGACTCCCCTCCCGCTCAGACCTGAAACGCTTCTCTGAGGCCCGCAGAACCAGCAAACTGTCCACCTTTGTTAACTTCCCCATGAAGGATCTCGACCTGCGGGAGTTTGCCTCGCAAAACTGCCGTAAGTACCCATCTACCATTCCAGATATCTGATTTATGTTTTGCATCCCAGCCGATATTAAATCTAAAATAATATCTAATAGTAATGGGGTGAGAAACGGTGCCCTTTCAAGTGTGTCGTTATGAAAGAAGTGCTGGCTTTAAGTGTGTTTTTGTCCCGTTTCAGTCAATGCAGTGTACAACCTGTACGCAGTGTCCAACCACTCAGGCACCACTATGGGCGGCCACTACACAGCCTACTGTCGCAACCCCAACTCGGGAGAATGGTACACGTTTAATGACTCCAGGTAGGTTCTACTAATGTGCTCTCATCAGGATCAAAACATGCACCAAGTATGTGTAGAGAAACACCTTGGGGCATTCAGAACCATTTAAAGGTGACTTCAAATATGGAAATGTACACAAACTGGCATTATGTTTTTGTTTTTGAAGCATTAAAGCATGCTACATTTTTACTAATATATAGTTTATTATGATCATTTTTCATGACTCAACAAATAATGTAAACAAATAAACGAAACCTGCTCAAATGTATTCTTACTCATAAATTACAATTAAAGGGTAATTCTGGTATTTTATATTGTCAACTGAACTCTCTAAGTGACTGTTTAATAATAATAATCATCTAGCGTTAAATGCTTGAATAACATATACAAAATGAGCTTCTTAAAACTTTAAATCTTGAAGAAAAACCAATCGAGGAGTCGCTAGTGCAACGTCAGTCACTGCTGGTGAACTGTCACCAGACTGTCAGCGCTAACCAAATATAAATGGAGATTCTCTTACTGCCTAAGGTACACATTTGTAATTGATTCCAATGAAAACAGAGCACATAACATCTCATGCGACCAAAGAGCGCAGCGCCCAGCCTCTTTTATTCGGAGTGTTTTGGCTTTGTGTGACTGCTCAGAGTGATTCAAGTTGAAAATATTCAGCTTTTTAGAAAAGCAGTTTTAGTCCGTGTCTCTTGGACGGAATCTATCATAACAAAGACCAAAAAGCCCGTTTGTTGGATCAGATTGGTTTGGAAGACCCTCTTGTTCTACAGCTATCAGCTTGAGCTGTAAAACTAGAAGGTCGTGCTCTGCCTAGTGACCAAATCTTCATTTTCACTCAACATGGAGGCCGGATCACAAAATGTATCTTTATGTTCCCTGACATGGATACATTACAGTTACTGTTTACATCAACCAAAGGATAATGAGAACCCGGTTTGAAAAAATCGAATGAAGTGCTTTTTTCTCACCATTAAACCTTTTCCCCTCTCTTCCTCTCCAGAGTAACGCCAATGTCCTCCAGCCAAGTGCGCAGCAGCGACGCCTACGTCTTGTTCTACGAGCTGGCCTCCTCCTCGCGGATGTGAAGCCTCCTGGAAGACGACGGGCCACAACACCTCTCTGACCGACGGACAGACTGATGGGGAAAATAAAGAGAGCTGGTGGAGCTGAGCCTATTTTGGACTTGTGTTGGGACATATATCATACACACACACACACACACAGATCCCCACCAGCCTGGAGGCCAGAGAGAGGAACCCTCTGGAAACCACTGATCCACCAGCCCTGCTTTCTCTCTCACCGTCTCTACTCTCGTGTTCTGGGTGGAGGTGTGTGTGTGTACCGTGTGTGTACCGTGTGTGTACCGTGTGTGTACCTTGTGTGAGTGTGTGAGTGTGTGTGTGTGTGTGTGTGTGTGTGTGTGTGTGAGAGTGAGTGTGCAAGGCTGACAAAGGGCAATAATCCCATCTGACGACCTTCCAGTAAAGCTGTCCCTCTCTATGCACTGCGAGCATCCTGACCGCGCCTTCGCTTCTCTCTCTTCTCGTTTGCCTCGAACCATTAACTCTCACTTGTTGCAATTTTGACCGTTTTTTTTGCTTTGAATTTTGTTTTGAATGTTTTTGGGGGGGGGGGGGGCATCATCAGCAGCACCCCCACTTTGGACTGTGGAGAGTGACAGTAACAGGACTGCTGGTGGTTACAGCCCCCCCCGGCCCGCTCGCTGTTCACGGCCTTCCCTTCCCCCGACACCAACACACTCCCAACGTCTCCGCCCGACATCCCCCCCCACCTCTCGCTATTTCTCCTACGGTGGCTGGGAGGCCGATGGCACTGTGAGCGTGACATGTTTCAGAGGAGGACCCTCCAAACTTGTGTTTTCTTTTCTTTTCTCCCACGTGTGGCTGCTACTGATGTTTTGAAAGTGCTGTGAGCGGATGAAAGGACAGTGGACTACGGATCTGCTAAGGAGTAATAATATAGACGATAACCACGCTAACAATCCTCATTGTCAGCATGAGGTCTTTTCTTCCTCTCTTGTTTCATGCCATTGAACAACACGGAAAGAATGTTTTAAAGAAGAAGAAGAAAAACACTATATCTGTATATTTTTATATCCTGATGCAAAATAGAGAATGTACTATTCAATGGTGCTGAAAATGACCCATAACTGTTTCAGTTGGTTTATTTCCCAGGTTTCAAGAGAGAAAAAAAATGATTATTTATGCTTACAGGTGATAATGTGATGAGTCACACTTTTTAACAGTAATATATATATGTATATATATTCATATATACACATATATATGTATGAATGAATAAAAGTAAAAAGAAAAGTGGTTTTACTTGGAGTGTTTGTCTCTTTTTAGCTTCTATGATTTAGCTCACACATGGTGACTTAGAGATGAGCACTTGCACATGAACGAGGACTAGAAAGAAAAACTTGTGATTGCAAAAAATAAAATAGAAAAAGACTGTTATCCCACCCTAGAGCAGAACCCCCAAATTGACGAGTCAGCTAAATCTGAGGGGTCATGGGGGTCTTCTTTGAAATGTATAAAAATGTTAAAATCAATCAATTACAATCGACTGTTTTGATGACATGACACAAGTCTAACCTGGTCATAAGCAAACCATTGATCAATTAATAAAGCTATTGGAAAGAAATAAGAATTTTCTTAACAAAAAAGCTGAATTTTCAACAAATATTCATATAAAATAGAAAATATATTTTAGAAAAATGCTATTAAAAGACGTGTTGCCTCCTCAGCTGCATTGATTTGGAGTCAATTGTTCACATGACATGGAAGCTATAGAAAAAGCAAGACTTCAAGAGAAATGCTTCATTTTCAATAAAATATTCAAATAAAAGTGAAAAACAGTATAATCCTATTGAAAGAGTTGTGTCCTACTTGTCCAGCATATAGTATTACAATGCTGAATTAGTTTGGAGTCTTTTGCTCACATGGAAGCTTTTGAAAAAACAAGACTCTTCAATAAAAACAATGCTGAATTCTCAATCAAATATTCATATAAAAAATGTAAAACACTAAAATCCATATATCATATAGTGCAAAATAAAAAAGGTGTGTCCTGCTTTTCAGGAGTAATATTACAACTTGTAAAACCGAGTTTTGCAATGATGTATTGATTTGATGTCACTTGGTCACATGTAGGGTTGCAAAGGGGCGGAACATTTCCGGTAAATTTCCAGAAAGTTTCCGGAAATTTTCCATGGGAAGTTAAGCTGGGGAATTTTGGAAATATTCGATGCAAAATTAAACAAAAAAACATGACATTTCAACAGATTTTTTTTTAAGTAGAACAGAACAAGTTTTTATTATTTTATTGAACAATTATTTGTTTCATTGAAGAACGAAAACAGGAATTTTGAGTTAAATATTACTCATCCCCCCCAACCCCACTCATTAAAAAATGCACCCCCCATCCAAAAATCCCCACAAAGTCCCATTCAAAATGTTAAATGAAAAGAGCCCTTCTCCCTCCAAAAAGTCCCATTAAACATGCAAATCTTCCTTCAAGCAATCCTCTGCATTTTTGCTAAACCCTTTCAGTCAATGGGCTCTTCCTGGGCCTCATCAACATCCAACTCTTCCTCTTCAGTGTCGCTGTCCAGCCTTGTTGAGGATGGCTCTGTGTCAGCCTCAAAGAGCCTTAGGTTTGCCCCAATGCCAACCAGTTTTTCCACTCTCACATTTGTGAGCCTGTTGCCAACCTTTGTGTGGTCTCAATAGCCATGCAGTAAGCAGTGTGCTATGGCATGGATATTCAAGTGTACTTGAATGGCATCTGTTTGTTTTAGTCAAGATTATGCTAAAATATACTTTCCCCAACTATATTTAAGTTCCCTATGAAGAGCCAACCTTCCATTTTGAAAATTCCCAGTTTATTCCCATAAATTCCCGTTTATTCCCGTTAATTCCCATGGAAAGTTTCCATCTTTGAAAATTCCCGGAATTTTGCAACCCTAGTCACATGACATGGAAGCTATTGAGAAAAAGGCTGAATTTTCAATAAAATATTTTAATTTAAAAAACACTTAAATTCTATTAAAAAAGGTGTGTCCTACACATGCAGCATAGTATAGCAATGCTGCATAAACGTGTAGTGACTTGGTCATAGCACATGGAAGCTATTTTTAAAAAGCTGGGAATTTTCTTTAGGGAAATAATGAATTTTCAATAAATATTAATAGAACATTAAAAAAAACACTGAAATCCAATTCAAAGCGGTTTGTACTGCTTGTCAGGAATAGAATTCCATGCTTGGTCAAATTTCATTGAAACTATTTGACTTTTCTATTTGAAAAATGTTGAATTCTTGATAAAAAATTATAATTTAAAGAATAAAACACACAAAAATCAAATTAAAGAGGTGTTGTCTTTGTCTTCAGAGTAGTTTACAATGCCACATTAATTTGGAGTCACTTGGTCACATAACATTGAGGGAAAACAAGACTTTTCAATCGAATTGGACGTGTTTGCCTCCAGGAAATCAAGCTCTCAAGCACATGAAAGCTTCTCTTGGCATAATATAAGATAACATTACTGTTAAAGTCATATCATTTGTTTAAGTGTGTCCGTGTCACTTTTGAGATAACACAGCAAATGTGTGTAGTATATGTTGTAAAGCCTCTGTTTATGTGTGAGTCATTTTATTACCAAAGCCACTTCTCAGGAACTTCTCTTTGGTGAACTTTGAAACTCACACATCGTGTGGGCTGGCTGCTCCAACCCTAATGCTTTCCCACAGAACAACAGGAAGTAAATGCAGAGCTGGAATCACTTGTGAAGAAAAGATTGTGGAGAGACATTTCAGACTGGAGCTTGACACACCCTGCGACTGTGGATTATAGAAAACAGAAAACTTGACATGGCAGCCTCTTGGGGTGAGTCACTCTAAAGAAATGTAAGAAAGATTATGGGATAGATTATGTGTATGATCAGGAGATCCTTAACTTTTGTCAGGTCCAGAGTCAAGCCTGTCCCAGCTGGTGGTTCTGTTACTGGGTGAGAAACAAAGTGGGAAGAGCTCAGCAGGAAACATCATCCTTGGGAAACCTGCCTTTCGCAAAAAAACAACTCATAGCTCCAAAGACACTGGCACCATCTTTGGAATACAAGTAAATATACAATTTTACAGCTTTGATTGACTAATTTTACCTCAAAATCTCCTCTTCACTCACTTCATTTGATCAATCAGGTGACAGTGGTGGACACCCCAGGGTGGCTGACCAGCTGCACCACTCCAGACAGGGTGTCCCAGGATCTGTGCAGAGGCGTGTCCCTCTGCCAGCCAGAGCCCCATGTCATCCTGCTGGTGCTGCCCACCACCTCCACCTTTGGCCCGGAGGAGTGGAGGGCCATGGAGGCCCAGCTCAGACTGCTCCAAACCCCCATCTGGCAGCGAGCTATGGTCCTCTTCACTCATGGAGACCTGTTAGGTAAACTAATAAACATTTTATATGACATAATGCTCACTGTTCATGTGACAGAATCGAAATGCTAATTGGCCAAATGGCAATAAGACTGACTACTAAGAGGCTAAGCCAACACTTTAAGCCACTGAGGACCCGCTATATTGATGTAATTGACGCACACTTAACTCGCCAGTGAATAAAAGTCAGATAGAAAGTTTCTGGTGAATTAGTTACAAGGCCTAAATTAACACAACAAGTACTTTGTGTTTTTTTTTCCCCCAGCAATAATTTAATTGCCAAGGTACAATCAAAATAGATGCGTTTTCAGATTTCGACCGAAGATATGCAGAGTTTCTGCTGTCCAAAGAGTTGATCAGAAACCAGGGGGTGAGGGTATACATAACTCATTTTGGCCTTTTATGAACATTTCAGATCGAAATATTGCAACAATATCATTGATTGGATTGAAACTGGGTTCAGATGTTTATTGACTTTGGTGGCCCCTAATCTGTTCAAACAGATCTCTGCACGAATGCAAAATATGTATGCAACGGATCAAGATTTAGGTACTGGAAGCTTTTTGGTTTCTGTTTGTAATCTGAGTAGTATTGACCAATCGTGTTTGATCAGGCTTTGGTCCATGCATTTAAAGGTCCTTGTTGAAAGTAAAAAAGGCGGAACATATTGGCCAAAATGCAATGTTTGGAACCCAACAGCTATTGTCTTTTTATTAGCTTAAAATAACCTTAAATGTCTTGATGTTTAGATAGATTGACTATAAATTTGGTTTAGATATTTGCGATATTCATCTCAGGATGAATAAAAGTTCCATAATCCAGTCAAAATGTCATCGTTTTGAACCAAATACTGCAAAACTTAGCCATCAGACTAAGCTGTACTCTGTGCGCTTGGGATAATTAGCAAATGTCAGCATACTAACACAAAGTAAGATGGTTATCATAATACCTGCTAAACATCATTTTCATTGTGTCTTGCTGACTTTAGCATTAGGCTGTAGACTTTCCTTCATAACTAAAGTGATGGTCCTTTGGCTCTGTCCATTGATGTTTGACTCAACCAATGAGGTGATCTCTTCTACAGGAGGCCTCCCTATCAAGGAGCACGTTAGGCGCCAAGGTCAAACTCTTCGTTGGCTGCTGGAGCGATGTGGGAACAGGTACCAGGTAGTGAGCAACCAGCCTGGGGCCTCAGAGGCTCAGGTGGCAGAGCTGTTTCAGAAGATCCAGAAGATGATAGAGGCGAACAAGAGTCCCAGAGGAGTCCAGGACAGGATGTACACCCAGCTCAGACGAGAAGTGAGCTTAAGGGAGGCGAGGAGGTCGCAAGGAAGACAAGAAGACATAGAAATGAGAGTCATGCATGATATGCATGATGGGAGGCCATGGCAAAGAAAGCAGATGGCCTCCAAACAACTACATATACCCAGAGGTAAGCCGGGTTCAGCGTTTTCGTTTCAATTTGTTGACATATGAGTTAAATGTTTTTTCACACTGACATTTTGTTATCTTCTTTTTAAATCATCTCTTTGTATCACCACAAAAAGTGTGTTAAAAATAATATTCACCTGTTTAAACATGATAGTGAAATAAATCAGGTTATTAATGATAATTACAGTATGTGCTACAAAAGTGGCTAACTAATTTGTAAGAAACACTGTATTTACAGATTTGTTAAGGTAAGGTCATACCTTTTGCAAGAGACTAGGGGAATGAGGGACATCATTCTAGATAATAAATATCACCATGAAACCCCCCAAAATCATTACTAACATTGAGGCGATATTATTTTGGAATTGTATATAATTTAAAATATGGATTATCTAACGCTAACTTTTTGTGAACTCTACCGAGAAAAATATAAAGAGTTGCAGTGTTCGCATACTTGTTTCTGAATGTGTCTCATCTGAGATATTTCTAATTCCGCCCTTGATCGGAAAGGAACAAATATTTGAAATGTAAAAATCGCTGCATTATGTCATTGCAGGACTCCCAGCAGGGTCGGCTAGTTTCAAACCTGCTCTTGCCCTCATCCTGCTGGGAAGGAGCAAGTCAGGAAAGAGCTCAGCAGGCAACGTGATCCTGGACAGTGAGGAGTTTCAGACCGACACAAAGACCACCAGGTGCTCTGTACGCCATGGGGAAGTATCGGGGTGGCCTGTGATCGTGGTGGACTCCCCCGGGTGGAGCCTGTTTGGTCTGGCCAATTCCAAGCAGGTCAGGATGGAGATCAGTCGAAGCCCTTCCCTTTGCCCCGTGTGGAGCAAAGTCATGTTCATTCTGGCTGTACCGGTGGGCTCCTTCAGAGAGAAAGACAGGAGAGCGGTGGAGATGCACCTCAGCCTTTTGGGGCAGGATGTATGGAGAAGCACTGTGGTGTTGTTCACCTACGGAGAGGAGCTGAGAGGAAAGACAGTGGAGAATCACATCGAGCAGAGTGGAGAGCCTCTGCAGTGGCTGCTGGGCAGATGTGGACAAAGGCACCAAGTGTTTCGCACAAATACAGGAGACCGGACTCAAGTACAGCAGCTGCTGCACATGGTGGAGCAACTAGAGCAATGATAGTTAGTGGTGCAAGAACGAGTCCTAAAACCTGGAAATTAGTTAGCATTTTACAACTTCCAGTTCCCTTGTCTGGAATCAGACCTTTTTTTAACGTGTTTTTCGTTAAATGCCTGAAATAAGGTCTGTGGTTAACACAAGCTGAAGATATTTTAATACTTTGTTTTTACGACATAAAATATGTCGGTAATTACCCAAATCGTGAATTTCCCAAAATGTCTTGTATGATAAAAATGACATTTGCTAACAAGTGACTAAATAAACTACTGAACGCCATCACGCCGACACAAGTCTGCCTTAAGCTTAGCATGGGTGCAATTGTGATGCAGTTAGCCTAGCGTTAGCTTTTAACTTCTGGCATCTGCATTTACGCTTTAAAAAGCACAAAGTAGTGTTAATATGTAAAGAAAGATTATCCTGCTGAACAAAACTTTGTAAGTATTATAAAGATGTGTTAGCCAAACAGCATATTTTCTGCAATATAACGAAATCCAATGGGAATCCATATAAGATATTAGTCATTATTTTAGAGAAAGTTTATTTCAGTGAATTACAGAATCCTTTGTTTCTCCATCACATTGATGACAATGAGATCCCATAACATTCCCCAGCTTATTTCAGTTTCATACAGGCAAAGTGCCCAGAGTTTTTATTTGTATTTAATGTGCCATTTTGAAGTGTTTTAGCCTGTAGAAATACATACAGGTCTGATTGGAGAATCACACAATCATGTTATTTATATATATAAAATTGTAATTTATACTTGTATTTGTTCATATTACATGTATATGTACATCATGTGTGTATATCAGAATAAAGGTATTGATCCAAACTCAATTTAAACTTCATGCAGAGTTACCTTTGGTAGTCGGGCAGTCGGACAGGTGTTACTTAAAGGCCCATTTCCAAACCACCCCCTACACCCTACACCCTACACACTACCCCTCCGTTTGCGCGTTAGCGCGGAGGGTCCACCACATTAAGTGCTGTTCCAAACCAACGAGTGTGGAGGGGGAGTGGGTTATCAAGCCCTCAAACAGCGAGTCTGCATCGATCCTGACTTCGGCCCAATCCCAAACTGCCCCCTACACCCTACCCCTACACCAGGGCTTCTCAACCTCCGGACCAAGGTCCGGATCCGGACCGAACTGCAAATCAATCCGGACCGAACCCTGTGTCCCATTATAAAAAAATATATATATATAAAAAAAAAAAAAAATCTGATTCTGATAAATATATGTACATCATTGTGTACGCGCGTCTTGTGTCTGACGCGTGTCTGATTGTGAGAATGAACGTGCATATACTTGTGTGCGCGAGCGTGACACGCATTGCAGACCGCAAGTTAACCGCAAGTTTACCTTGACTTTCTAATGCTTCTAATGCCTTTTTTGCCGAGGTTCAAGGCATTGGCTACAGACAAACAGTGCCATTTCTCCCACTAGTTCAAGCCATCATACTGTATGCAGGCGCGCCGGATTCATTTTAGAAGTGGGGGGGCCAAAAAAGTGCGTGTGTATGGCCCAATCCCAAACCACGCCCTACACCCTACCCCTACACACTCCCCCTCCGTGACGGAGTGAACTCCGTGGAGTGACACATGAGGCTCCCTCCTGTAAGATGGAGGGAGTAGATACAGCAGCAAGCTTTGGGACAAACTCCCCTCTCTCCGGCAGAAACAGGAAATGCCGTAACTGTATCAACGGTATCAAATCAGCATCTCTTTGACAAAAAATGTAAATTAATAACTAAAATAAAACTCCAAACATCTCTAATTGTGTTACTTTTTTGTAAAGCTCTTTTAGTTTTAAACCTGATGTTTATAAGTTTCTTAGTTTTTGCAACAGTCTGTAAATATACACAACTTTATAATAAAATGCACACATTTACCTTTTTCTAGACTAAACACATGGTAGATCCTAAGTTAAAAACATATGAGGTTATCATGAGGTTGTTAACATCGCAGTTTATCAGTGGATGTTTGCTGGAAGCACAATAACTGCATGTTTTGCATTGCTTTTAAATTTCAGTTAATATAGTGGTGAGAGACTCCCGATACATTAGATTTATAAGTTCATTAATTGTCTCGTGATGCATATTTCCCGGTGAGCATGAAGCTCTTCAGAGTGGGGTTTTTCTCAGATACGAGTTATTTTGGAAATTGTGCAGTTGCTCCATCATTCCATCTCTTCTTTTTTCCTGCTCAATACGCTGTTGTTTGACAAGCTGTATGTTGACTGGTGTTTAACTGAAGAAAGCGCACTTTTTTTTAATACACTCTCTGTGGAAATTAGACTTTTCGTGGCTGCCCAGGAGGCTTGGGCACTTTTTCCAGTTATTAACTCCGATATTAACAAAGCTATCATCTCCACATTTTGAGAAAGTTACAAGCCGTTTGACAGCAGCAAATCTGCATATTTCACAGAAGGCCCGTTTAGTGGTTTTGCAAAGAATTAACCACTCTCTGTTTTTGTACCATTCTGCGTTGAAGTACCTTTCTCTTTGCCCAAATAATCTAGCGGTCAGTTAGCTGCAGCTTTACCCATCTCAATGTCCCGACAACAAACCTCCATGCAGTCGGAACCAGCCTGTTTCGGTTCAACGACGGCGGTGGCGGCGGTTTTGACAGTCTCTGCGGCCGCAGAGCTGCTGCTTTTGGGTTTATCTGGCTTCGCTGGTTCTATGATTGATGAAGGTCCAGGCTCCTGAGACGTGGATGTCAGGGATGTGACCTTCCAGTTGTTAATTTAAGTTTAGATTGACTGTATAGTTTTCTTCTGCGCTGGTTCTTCTGACGTGTTTGCAAGTGTATATATTTTTTCTATCTAGGTTAACGGCTGACACACAGAACAACGTGACAAATAAAGTAAACAACGTAACGAATAAACAAATCTAAGCTTTTTTATTGGTTGTAATTTACATGGATACATTTGAATGGTGTGACAATGTCCTATTTGATTGGGTTAAAATTTACATATTCTTCCTGTTATGTCTGCCTGCTTTATTTTACCTAATGCAAAGTGACCTGCTCCATCGAAATCAGTCGCATTGACCCGAAGACACATTTTGAGTTGCATACACTGTTGGAAAGAGGAGATTCATAGCTTTCTAATGATATCAGGATTGTTGTTGTAGGCTACTCCAAATATTAAGCAAAATATGTCACATTATATAATGACTGTTACAGAGTCATCATTTTGAGAAAAAGGCCTTTAAAGTTTCCTCTTCTCTGGATCGATCTGATTGATTATTAGCGGAGCAAATGATCAAAATAGTACGAAGGGAAGATAGGGGAAGCCCGCGAGTGTGTGCGTGTATATACGTGTGTGTTTGTGTATTTATGCGTTTGTGTGTATTGTGTTTGTTTCCCGGGGAAAACACTCACGAGAAACACGGCTGCTGTTATGCCTGCAGTGACGTAAAGTTACTCCGTTGCTTGTAATTATGCCGTTACAAGCTTCAAAGTTGTATTTATCATCTGAATTTGCCAAAACAAGTTTAATATTCTGAAAGCCAAGACTTTGTTTATTTGAAATCAGATAAAAACAAACTGTAACGGACCCTGCCGTGTTATCTATGATTACTATACGCCTTACATTCATAATTTCAGCAGAGGGAGGGGAAGCGGCGCTGTGGAACAGCAGAGTGGCGAGTGAGAGCTTTACAAGCTTAAAAAAATGCCTGTAGCTAATGAGATTGAATATAACAATCAAACATAACAAAATATACACAGCTATATCAGATCGCGTTTTAGATGCGACTTTAGAGTAGAGGGGAATTATTGAAACGGGATTTGTACAGTGTTCCACGGCATCCGCCGCTGCGAAAATGTGGGGCAGGGCTGAAAAGTGGGGGGGCCAATGGCCCCCTGGCCCCCCCGCTTCCGGCGCCCTTGACTGTATGTATGTATAGAGTGGCGAAGTCCCTCCCCTTCCGGTTGAGCCCCATGGGACCTTATTTCGGAAAAGTTATGCATTGAAGTCAATGGAGAGAGAAAGATTATCTTTCGATCCCGTTTGAATTGTGCCACGAATTACACATATGATGTTTGTCAATTTAAAAGATAATTTTGCAAGTCAAAAAAATTAAAATGTGTCGTAAAACTGTGAAGTAACACATTTGTTTGTGTGAAAGGCTCAATGAACTACATCTCTGGTCAACCACACACGTCACCAAGATGGCCATCACTACTGTCTTGTCAACAAACGATTGACTATCACCACAATGAAACACGTCCTGAAGAATGTCATGCAAAGCCTGCCTTCCTTTGATTCTCTCTGAACTGCCTGGTCGTTTTAATGTTTAATGTCAACCATTTGTGCAGATAGCATGAAGTAGAAAAGATCGCCGATGCTAACGTTAGCGTTAGCATTTCTCCCCCGGAATTAAATGGTGTATTATAGAATGATCACACCGGTGACAGTACTATTCAAAGGGTTCACGAAATATGACTACTACTCTTACTGTTTAACATTTTGGGTTACTTAATGTTACTTCATGTTAAGGCTAATAAAAATGACAAGGCTGTAATGCTAACTAACGTGCTAGCTACTAGCTAGGTAGCTAACTTGATCAAGCCACTCCTGGTCGTTTCATCAGACGGGAAGCAAAAGAACGAGCAAGACCCATTGCTGGTATAATAACAACCTGGTACTAAGCACACAGGCATCTTGTTAAAGTTATCTTATCTTAGCCAGCGCCATATAGATAGATTATATCTATATTGCGCTGATCTTAGGTATCTGAATGGTGGAGGTAAACAATTGTGACATCACTTACGCGACTCTGGGATTTGTAGTCTTTCTAGTTACGTATTTTTCATAGTCTTATATTTCAACAGTTTTACGACAAACTGTGACTTTTTTGACATGGAAATGATTTTTTAAGATTGACAAACATCATATGTGTAATTCATGGCACAATTCAAACGGGATCGAAAGATAAGTTTTCTCTCCCCATTGACTTCAATGCATAACTTTTCCGGAATAAGGTCCCATACCCCGGAAGTAAGTGGGAGGGACTTCGCCACTCTATTGAATGTGTGTGTGTATATTACAGGGGCGCCGTTTGCCGACAGGCAAGGCAGGCAAGTGCTTGGACCAGAAGGGGGCCCCAAAGAAAGTAGATTAAGAAGGTCCACAGCAACGACAACATGAAACACCCTTTAATTTACTGCAACGACATGTCGGGAAACCCCCTCATGGGGGCCCCATGCATAGAGCGCCGTAAGAAACATTTTCTTAATTTCAGTTTCGTTGCTCCGCTCCGGGGGGGGGGGGGGGGTGACTTTACTGGCATTGATCCGGACCATTGACCTTGTATAAAGTTCACAAGTGGACCTTTAATAAAAAAGTTTGAGTACCCCTGCCCTACACTCTACCCCTACACACTACCCCTCCGTTTGCGCGTTCGCGCGGAGGGTCCGCCACATTAAGTACTGTTCCAAACCAACGAGTGTGGAGCGGTGTGGAGGGGGAGTGGGTTATCAAGCCCTCAAACAGCGAGTCTGCAGCGGTGCTGACTGGAGACCGCTGTATTTACTCCCTCCATCTGACAGGAGGGAGCCTCGTTGAGCTGCGAGTGTGTAGGGGTAGGGTGTAGTGCGTGGTTTGGGATTGGGCCATCCTGAATAATCATTCGAAGTCGGCGGCTACAGGAAGAGGAAGAACTCGGCTGAGATCATGTTGACCACCTTGCTTTGCGGAGCTGTCGTGTTTCCAGGACTTTTCTTTAGCTTCAGGAAAGGACTGAGAGACACGTTCACACACTGGAGTGAAGCTGACGTAGTTTGCGTCAGTGAGAGGTCAGCACACACACCGAACTCCATTAAGACATGCGCCGATTTAATGAGTTCTTGCTTATCTATCAATATAAATGCGTTATGGAGATTTACTAACTGTTTGTTATTAGTTTATATAAAGAGCTTGTGAATTCGGCACGGATTTAAAATAATCATAATTTTCTTACAATACACAGGCTACACATGTTGTTATGAACCGTATGACAAGTTAGAACTTTTGCAATGATTCGGTCATATGTGTGTACAATTGGCCGAAGATATCACATTCAATCTCAGAAAGGAATAAGTACTAAATACATTGTTACTTATGTAGGCCTATGCATTTTGCCAAAAAGCAAGAAATCTATTAAATTCGCATGTGTCGTGTAATTTCCCCCAAGCCATGTGTTTGCTGTCTCTTTTTTTCTGCATAAGACTAAAAAAGTAGAATGTATTATTTTAAATGTTTCTTCAGGCTGGTTTCCGCCATCCATGCATTTCTGGCTACTGCAGCTGGAGTCACAGTGGTGGCATCCTGCAATGACGTCATCACTGACAGGTAGGAGAGTCATGTTTGAATTAATATTAATATGATTTCAATATATTTTTTTAATGCATTTTGTATCACCATTAATATCATTTACACTACTGCAATTAAAATCATTTAACCAGTAGGCCTATGGGTTTTTGTCGCCAAACAAAATCAAGTTGGTCTGTGTCTTTTTACGTTAGATTTAAGGTTTGCATAACACTGTTATTTAAGTGCAGATGCTCTCTGTGTCACCATGCAGTCACTGGCTGGTCAACTGGTTTGTTTTGTTCGGAGCTCCCTATATGGCCTTTGACATCTTCGCCATGTATCTGAGCCACTACCACACTCAGAGGGTCAGAGGTCATTCCAGCTCATTGAGCGGCCACTCTCTTCAGACGGTGAAGGCCTTCCTCAGTAAGGACTGGATGTTGGTCCTCCATCACCTGGTGCTGCTACTCATTTTTATGCCCATCACTCTGGTGAGTCTGCAGGAGGAATCCCTGACGTAGTGTGTTTGACCAGTTTGGTACAAACACTGATTCCTGTGTCTCATCTGATCTGCAGTTCTTCAGGAGGGGACTGGGGGATTTCTTCATCGGCTGCTTGTTCACCACAGAGTTCAGCACACCTTTCGTCTCTGTAGGAAAGATTCTCATCCAGGTAAACTATTAAGACATCAAAACATTTTAGCCATATTTAGTGGTATTGCTGCAATCAAACTATAGATCATAGTCTCATGTTTGTGCATCACCACTGCTAAGCTAAAGGCGGCTAATGTTCGGCGTGATGATGTTTAGTAGTTTATTTATTCACTTGTTAGTAACCGCTGTTTTTATTTCTTTATCTTTATCCATCATAAAGAAACTGGGCTTCCATACCAATTACTTTGCCCCATCTAAGTATCGCACACACATTTTGAAGCGTCATTCCCTGTGTGCACATTTCCCGTTACTGAATCGACTTTAGTGCCAAAACTGGCAGTTGTGTGAGGTAGAAAAGGAGGAGGTGGAGTTTCCGCTCACCCTCCTATTCTCCTATCCACCTGTTGAAGTGGGCAAGACCTTGAACCCCAAATTGCTCCAAACGCGCAGATCAACACCCTGCACGCTGGCTTGCTACCATCTGTAGTGAATGAGATGTTAATTGTAAAGAGTGTTAGATAAAAGCTATTCAGCTCTTCCAGAGGGAATTCATTCTTGTCCCCTGGTCTTCAGCTGGGCCTCGATGACACCAGGCTGCACCGGATCAACGGCGTCATCATCCTCTGGAGCTTCTTCACCTGTCGGATCCTGCTCTTCCCCTTCATGTACTGGATGTACGGCCGGCAGTTTGGGGTTCCCCTGCACAGAGTGGCCTTCCATCTGCCGCTGCACTGCAACGTGGGTAATCTGGCCATCCTGGCTCCTCAGGTCTACTGGTTCATCCTGCTGCTGAGGAAAGCTAAGAGACTGTACCTGAGACAGAGCCGAGGGGGGGGGGGACGGAACCGGGCGGAAGACGGACTGAGGCTAAAGATAGGACAAAGCCATTAAGGAGGAATGAAAAGTGATCTATAAATCTAATATATTCAGGAATGTGGTCTTTCTTGGAAAAGGTGTTACTATCATGTGGAAAAAAGTAATAGTTTGAGATTTATGTTGTAATATTTTGAGAACTTCATTTTTTTTCTTCTTTTATATTTAAGGTAATATTTGATCTGAGTTAAATGGAAGAATTCGAAATATACCTAGCAATAACTTATTAGATAGTTAGTAATACTTAATTACTATTTTTCATTACATTCTATAATATGAATAATATTTCTATTTCTGAAATGCTGTTACTTTCGAAACACTTGCCAACTTTTCCCACTTTTTATTTTTCTAAAAATGTAACTTTAGAGATTATTCTGGAATATTATCACTTTCTCAAAATAATACTTTTTTTCTTTAAATGTATGACTTTCAATGACTGGCTCCAATGTTCAATCATCATGCACTACGGCATAATGTAGCTTTATAACTGGAAATGATTTGTTTGTCTGCTGTATGTACTTGAGAAACTACCGTAAATGATATGTTATTACTGGAGCTTTACTGTTTGCAGAGAATACTTTTGTACCAATAAAACAAATACTCTTTACTTGATAAAAAATATGTTTTGCTAATTCTGTGGTTGAGAGTACTAATGTATACCTGTCCTAAACACAGGGAGCGCCAGGTAGAACAGTTGATCTAACATTAGTTACATCGCAGCCTCAACATCTTGTTCAAGACAGGGTTCATACACTTTTTCACCAATGATTTTCAATAACTTTTCCATGACTTCTCCATGACCTTTACCTAATTTTCCATGACCAAATGACTCTTTCTCAGCGATACCACTGAAAATGGTTTATTTTAACATGGAACAGGAAAATAAAGTCTGAAACAAATCAAATAGTAGGCTTACTAGCTTCTACACGCTAAAGCAACTCACATCTCTCACCAGCAAAATACCTCGACAGTTAAATGCCATTTTACGTTTCATTACTATACGATACAGTATTTATTATCATTATAGTATTACTATTTCGGCGATTAGATAAAATATAAATTATATTTGATGCAACTTTAGTTACATTTCCATGACTTTTCCAGGGCCTGGAATTTGCATTTTGAATTTCCATGACTTTTCCAGGTTTTTAATGACCGTAGGAACCCTGTCAAGAACCCTTTACAGTTTGAGAGAGGCGCAGCACAAAAAGACATTTGCTGTGAAATATATTTTATTCTCTCAAACTCCTTTCCCATCACCCTCATAAGTGCAGTGTATGACATCATCATTATTTCACAGGAGCTCGGTGTGTCAAGCTGCCGCTGACACCAGCTGAGCGATCTTCTGCTGCAGCACCGCCTTCATCTCCTGGCTCTGCAGGTTGTCAGTGATGGTGGAGAAGAAGTGGCGGGTGTTGTCGCTCTCCAGAGAGCTGCTGCTGTGAGGGAACGCCGCCATGATGGCCTCGTAGTGGCTGAGGATCTCCAGGCTGCACAGGAACAGCGGCTCGCACTGGCCTCCTGGCATCATCACCTGGAAGAGGAGGGCCAATGAGATATATATTTAGAAACATTACAGGAGTAGGCCTACCACTCAGTCACAGAAGTCAGACGCATCGACAAGTGAGTGTTACTACACTGTTGAAGAGAGGAGATTCTTAGCTTTCCAATTATATCCTGATCTTCAGATAAATTAGTTAATTAGAAAGTAACTAGGTAAATATACTTAGGTATTGTTTTTGACATATTTGTACTACTTTAGTATTTCCATCTAAAGCTACTTTATAGTACTCCACTACATTTCAGAGGTTAATATCATACCTTTTACTGGATTTAATTTAACACTAACATGTATTTTGTGCATATAAAATATATGATATTCTGTAAATGTATGGTCCGAATATGGCTATAACAGTATCATATTCTGACACCCAAAAATGGGTTTGTTTGAAATCAACCACTAGTTTGGAAACATAAATCCACGATCATCTCAGAATGAGCTGCTTTAACATCCAACTATTTTTGATAGAGTGGGTCACATATTGACTGTTACTTTTGGTAACTTTAACAGTTATTACATTACATTATTACATGTCATTTGTTGACGCTTTTATCCAAAAAGACATAAACCCTAGCTCTGTGATCTTTAGCTCAACCTCCCAGCCAATCAGAATCCAGACTTCTCAGTGGCAGCGGTGTTGATAACTCTTACCTGGATGTGCTGCACATGGCAGAAGAGCTGGCTGAGGACAAAGAGGACCTCTTGGCAGGGAGCTGTCTCCCCCTCCTCCTCCATGTGGGACTCTTTGGACTTCAGCAGGGATTCTTGACGAAGCTCTTTGGACATTTTAGGAGGCGTGGAGACGGTCAGAGGAGCCGAGGCAGGAAGGGGCAGCTTGGCTCTGACTGAGTTCATCACCTCCCTCACGGCGTGGGAGTATAACCTGCCGACGTGCCCCCACCCCTCAGCGGACAGCCAGTCAGAGCAGCTGGACCCACAGAGCAGCTGCAGGACCCGGAGCAGGAGGACGGACAGGCGCAGCTCGCAGGAGAACCTCCTCAGGTCCAGGAGGGGCAGGTACTCCACGTACTCCAGCGAGAAGGGGACGTGGAGGCGGGCCGAGGTGATGAGCTCCCTCAGGACCCCCAGCAGCCGTCCCCACTGGCTGACGGAGCACCAGGGCAGCGTCTGGGTCACGGCCACCAGCATGCCTTTGCTGAACATGCCCACGTGGTCGGCCCGCCGCTGGTCCAGAGAGAGGCGGGACAGCATGGTGGTCCTCAGGGAGTCTGACGCACAGCAGCACTCCATCCAGGCCAGCAGCCCGGTGCCCTGTCCGTACTGAGGCAGATCCACCCCGGACCACTCCTACGGGGGGGAGGCAGATGTTATCAGCAGGAGTCAAGCATGGCAGAACTGACAAAATGATGTTATCCCCTTTAGCAGTAAAAATGTCACATTTCAGCTGCCACCGCAGTTACTGCCATTAAATATTGACTCTGCCAGCTGGTCTGCTGAGTCTCCAAGAACAAAGTTCACTCAGTTTATTGTCTAAAGATTTTTGCAATACAAATGTTACTGGAGATCTTGATTCAAGCAAAACCTCATTGGTGTGAACCCTTGTGCCTCAATGGCTTGGGGAGTAACCGATACATGTAACAGGATTACGTAATGAGGATACAAAAAAAAGTTATTGTTTTCCCTTACAGTTAAAACATTTTTTATTATATTCTACTTTTTAAAAAATGGGGATCACCAGCAGCATAACAATGTTACAATACAAATAAATATAATTTTGAATGTAGTAGGTGGACATCTGATTTTGGACGTTCGGCTTCTAGGATAACTCAAAAACAAACTGTAGCTAAAGTACAGTGACCGTGGAGGATACAAATGTCCCAATTGAAGCCACATTTGATATCCAACGGCCATTCTATCTTATCTGGTTTCACTCCAGAGCCCTTGCTTTTAGATTGCAGTTTTGTAGTTTTTCACCAGATTGAGACGTTTTGTAGTTTTTGCCCTTTGGGGTCAATACATGCCGTTTTCCTGGTTTCCACTATTGCTGCTGTATTATGTTTTTGCTAATCATTAATAAATCTCAGTTTTTTTTTATCAGGAAAACTGTGGCATGTACAGCATTAATAATAAAAGAAAATTGAAATTCTGACTGGACTGAGGCCGATTTAATTTAGATTATTATTACTACTTGTTTCAGCACCACTCAATAGGATACAGAAATATCCACAGAAGGTCATGTACTGTATGGTCAACCAGATCCCTTTAAAGTCCCAGAAGCCTTAACGTAGAGTGACCAAGAAAAGATAGAGACAAGCTGTCATTGGGTGAAGCGGCATGCACATAGAGACAGATCATCTTACCTGCTCCGGCAGATCACACACAGTCAGCAGAGAGGCGGGAACCTCGTTTTTGAAGTGATCCCTCCAGACGGGCTTGAGGTGGAAGCGAATGGTCCAGTCCAGTCTCTCCATCTTGTGGTAGAGCCAGAACAGAGCTCTGGACCAGCTGCTGGGGGACGCTGCCACCTCTGCCCCCACCAGCTGCCCCAGCCGGGTCAGCAAAGCCTCCAGCAGCTCCTTGGTGTCCATGGACCAGCGGTGCACAGCGCCCTCTGGTGTCTGCTCCCAGCACCTAGCAGAGGATGGAGATATATCTAAATCAAATATTATATAGAATGCAATTAAGTTATTAGGTCTTTTTTAAACAAGAACCATGCATAACATTCAGATTTAAAAAAAGATGATATAGGGATACTTGTGTCGCGCGTGCATGTGTGGAGCGAGAGAGAGAGAGTGAGTGAGTGAGCGTATTGTGTTTCTGGAAGTGAACAGGAGTAGCAGCAGTATAACAAAGTCACAAATATAAACAACGGCCACCTAGGAACATTGAATGTTGGACTTCATTAACCGATCCTGAAAACATTCGCTATACAGGGCAAAAGTCCTGCAGCATGCGTCCCTTACTGATGTATCGGCGCATCCCTATGAAATATACTATCGTTTTCACAGTCACTGAGCCATTGAGCCACTTTGTGTAGCATTACTGAGAGCTAATATGAATGTACATGACCATTATCATTAATATATATATGCTCAACAACAGTGGTCCAAGAATTAAACCTTGTAGCACTCCCATTGAAATGAGTGCACGCATCTTACAAACCTGAGAGTCTGGTTTAGCAGCTGGGCGAGGACATAGAGGAGGGGGAAGGGAGAGCAGCCCAACACCCAGTGAGGAGAGACGGGAGCGTCCACAGACAGAGCCGTGTGCAGGAGCTGCAGACTCAGCTCTATGTCGAAGCAGCGGTGACCTGGAGGAAAGATAAAGATTACATTAGCAATGGGTCAAACAACTACATGTGTTAAAGGTCCCATGTCATGCTTTTCCGGTTATTACCCGTCCCCTTGTGTGTTATGAAGGTTTTTATGCATGTAAACGGTCTGCAGAGTCACAAACCCTCAAAGTACACCCTGTAGCGAGTAAAACTCTAACACAGAAAAGACCTGTCTATGCTGCCCCAGAACGCCTCGTTGGAGATTTCTCTTTTTCCATTGTTTTCTTCCTGGGTTCTGTGACGTGTGAATACCCAAATCAACAACAAATGGACCAATCCGCAGAGCACCTCACACACCAGGATCCCTTGGCTAACTAACAGGGAGTCCCCATTGACTTGCATAGAGCTCCCTGAACGCTGGTAATAGACAAGTTGGGATGGCGGAGAAATGCTCTCCGCAGACCCATTCTCACAGCGTTATAAACCTTTTTCTAACTCAATATCAAGCCACACTTATTGTTTTTACTTCGGCTGTGAGTGTTTGTGTGTGCTCAGGATGAGTTTCGCTTGTTCTCGCTGTATCGCCGACCCGGAAACCTGTCCGCTCCTCGCAGCAACGAGCCTCGCAACGTCCCGACCAATCAGAGCACACTGGGCTCATAGGGAGGGGGGGGGGGGCAGGAGCTCCAACAAGCCGTTACTTGGCTTACTACACATACTATACAGAGATGCTGTATGAGAAACCAATGTGATTTTGGAAAATTGCACAATTTAAATCTATTCTCGTAGACCTCAACAATGGAATTATGATCAGTAGAAATGGCCATGAC